CAGGCTCGCCAAAACGCCAGCATTTCTTACTATGGCGGGGGAGGCGTCGACAGGGGAGGGGAGGACTCCACCAACATAAACTTTATGGGGTAGGTCATATCTACGGAAGGTATCCTTGGAATATTGGTGTAAGACTTTCGATAGCCTCTGGGGAGAATAGTGTAGCACTTTACTGATACTGTTTCATAGTTAACGAGGCATTCTTTTACCCATTCAACACGGCCTTCACATCTTAGGAAGTGGATAGAAGGGGTTGGAGAGGAGGACAGGGGTAGCGGGAGAAGGAAATGGTTAATGGTTCAAATAAATAAATGTGCTAGACATTAAAGGTCATATAGCACTGCGGTAAAGGGTTATGTGTTAGATTTTAAAGGTCATATAGCCCTATGGTAAAGTATCGTGGTGTAAAGGGTAAAAAGTAGTTAACGATTAGAGTAAAACTTGTCAGATGTCAAAGGTTGTAGAGGGCCATGGGATAATATGGGAGTGGAAAGGGTACAGAGAGGGGGTGCAAATGGAGCATAGTGTGGATAATTAAAAGGGGAAGGGGCTAAGGGCGGAGAATGAGTAGATCAAATAGAGAGTATCTTTGTGTCTTGAGAAAGAAGAGGAACAGTGTAATCGAGAAGGCGGTAGAGACTGAGTATCTGGATTTAGAGTGGAAAAGGAATTTGACTGGGGAAGACAGGGAGTAGAGTTAGGATGGCATGGGGTAGAGAGAAGGGAAACTGGGGGAGACGATGAGACATCTTAAGAAGATAGGAGAGGAGCAGAGCGAAAGACAGCATTGGAATAGGTAGAGGAACACTTCGGAATGGATAGTTAACAGTAAGTATCGAGGAGTGGGTATTAGTATCAGTGGTCGGAGCTGTGATCAAAGGAGTGGCAGGGGTCAGAAGACCAGAGGAATCAAATCTAGGCATGCTAGTTGAGGAAGGGGCAAGGCTTAGTGCCTTTAATAAGTGTACATAATCTTCATTACTGGCCATGGTGAGCCTGAAATACATGGGGAAGAGAAACGGTCTACTCCTCAGGGTCCTCAATAAGGGATGAGGGCTAGACCACGTAAAATTGGTTGAACCGAGGTCCGACAACAACGGGGAGGCTGTTGAATAAAAGAAAACTTTTTTTTTTTGGCATTATCATGTCTGAACTATTGACTAAAGGCAGATTTCCCGTTTCTGGACTTGCAGGGGAACTGTGTAACAAGAATATATAACAAAGACTAACAGACCTGTAGTGTTTTTTTCTCAAGTTCTTAATCTTTATAAAGTATGGTACTCAAGAGACAATGGGTGAGGCAGGGATCAGCAAAAAGGGAAAGGGCGGGGAATTATGGGCAGATATATAATATCAGTGTGGAACTATTATGAATGAATGATAAGGGTAAAAATGGGTGTTGGAGGAGGGCAAGAATTCTGGAAATGAGAAAATGGATCGGGGAGAGGGGATCTGCAGTAATGTCAGGAGGGGAGGATCTCGGGAAGGGCACTGTTATGACAAAAGAGAGTCGCAAATGTATCCAGGAGGGATCGGAAGGCATGGCAGGGAGAGGGCGGTTTGAGTAGATGGGGAGGAGATGTTGGGAGGGAACGGTTAATAGTTAATGGTTAGAACAAATAAATATGTTGGGAGGGAATGGGAGGAAGGGGTGTAGAGAACATGAGGGGGGTGTATGTATATGTGCACTGCCCCCTGTGATTTCCTTTCATTTTATGCATACACATAGCTCCAGAATCTCTTGTTCACCAAGGAGTTCATAACTAAAGTCGTCCAGACAAGTAAGTCTATTAGCAGGCATGACTGAGGTAATGAGAGAGGCAGGGACACTGCTGGTTAAAACACTAATTCCACTGACATTGGTTGCCTAGCCCAGGAAAAATGAGAAATGTCGTTTGCTAGTGAGGAAAACATCTGAGGAATCTGGATTCCTCGCATTATTTATGCATAAATACTGTTTTTCGGTTTCTATATCGACAGAATGCATCCTGATGGAGTATTTTGTCTTTTCTCGCACTCAGTGAACAGAAACCTTACAAACTTTTCCATCCCTTCAAACACAGTGACTCTCTCTACTTAAGGTAGTCGACCGTGTATTAGAGCTATGGAACTCCCTTGCTCTTTGTATATTTCCTGTGCAGAAGTGAAGGACAACAAAGCATATTAAATGTCAAATGACTGAGCATTCTGTATATATGTACTCTTTATTTTTCATTTTACCCAAAAACAAGAATCTTAACTTGTTATATCAAAGAAATTGCCCTAAAATACAATGCACACACCATATATGAAAGTGTTATCAAGCTGTATAAAACTATTTTAGGGTATTTCTGTTTTCCAGGTTAAGTAAATAGAAAAATACTCACGAAATAATTCCTGCACATTCTTCAGTTCATGTTTCCTCCACCAATATTGTCAAGATTACTTTCCGTAGACATGACCTCCCCCTAGATGTTCATATCCGACCATATCATCCCCCCTTCCGTTAACATCAGAATTGTTGGCTTCTAGTCCACCCTGGCAAACTGCCGCTCCACATTCTGATGCCCTATGTGCCCAACCTGTTCATGATCGATCAAACTGTTCTGCACTATCACGTACATGTGCTAACTACGGCGGTTCCCATGTATTTTATATGGACTGCCCATTTGTGTCTCAGGTGGCAATTCTTACATTCATAATAGTACTGACCTTTGTCCGTCTCCTCTCCCTCCCTCCCAAGATGTTTCTGTATTTCCCCTATTATCTCTTTCTCATCCCACTTCTACCCCCTATCTCTCCCAGTCAAATGATTTTAATCAGATTTATCCAGATAATCATGTTAGCACTGCCAACCAATGAACATATTAATAATCCACTTTTTATGTGGAGGGGAGGAGGTTGCCGAGCGAAGTAAGATTTTTTAAAATAAACTATTCTAGGAGCATTTTCAACCACGACCAAAGCTATAAAGGTGTAATTTGGAGGGAAAAATCGTGGGAGTGTGACCCTTGGAGGGAGAGCCTTTATGAGGCAGTCAGAGTCTTGGGGGGGCGTCATTTCCCCTCAGCCTCCCTCCCCAAATGACGCTCCTGATCTACAGGTAGTTGCTGACCTCCAATTCAAGTACAGGGTGTTCAAAACAACAGCAAACTTTACTAGCGATTTATTATTCATGACGTCTTACCTTTCTCCAATCAAGCTTTGTAATATACATACCAGGATGGAAATGCCATCTCTACGACGTCTAGTTTTACAAGTTCCGACTTTACACCGACTGACTGCAATATGAATAATATAGTTTATGTAATCATAGGACGTTTTCTGTTATAACATGTTAAAGAAAATGCGAGGACTAACTACGTCAATGTTTTGAGGAATCCCGCAAGCTCCGGCGAAGTCAGTAGTGTACCTGTCCTCTTGATATCATTTACTTATTTATTGAAACTTTCTGCCTCAACATCATCTGAGGTCACTAGCGGCGTATTTAAAATATAGCTATAGGGTTGGGCTTCTGGACGAAGTTTTTGGGCTTATAAGGTGATGTTTGTGGATTTCTAGAATGGTCGAAACAAATGTGCCAGACATCAAGGGTCACACAGCATTATGACAAAGTATTGTGGTGAAAAGGTTAAAATGAGTTAACGATTAGTAGTAGAGGGCAGTATGGTAGTGAAAAAGGTAGTGAGGGAACTGATGGGGTATAGTGCAAGGTCCAAGGTTGTTAGAATGGGAAGAATTTCAGGGAATAGGGAGCATTATGATACAGTATTGAGGCGAAATGGACAGAAAAAAGGAGAGGAGAGAAGGAAAAGGAAATGAGAAGAAAAGGCCATGCAAAATTAGTTGAGGCAAGGGCTGAGGACCAAGGTAGGGGTGATTCCCTACATTGGGCCTCAGTCCCTTTCTCCAAAGCCCCTCACGAAATGAGCTTCGCCTCCCTAAGCTCTCCCAAATACAAAAAGTAAGGGGGGGGGGGTGGCATCACTACTCTGACATGCTTGCTAAATAAATTTATTCAAAATCTTCTGCCACATCAACATCTAAGGTCATTAGTGACATTCAAAATATAGCTATGGGGGCCGCAGGTGAGTTTTTTGGTCCAGTAATGTTCGAGGATTTCTAGAACGGTTAATGGTAAAAAAAAAAAAAAAAAAAAAAAAATGAAAAGATGGAAAATGAAAGAATGGATTCAGTATTTGTAAAATGTGGGGTGATCCCCTACATTGGGCCTCAGTCCCTATCTTCTAAGCCCCAGGGATTGGGGAGATAGCTTAAACAGCCTCTCCTGGACATGCCTTCCACTAAATGATCTTACCTAATAGAGGATCTTTTTAAATGATTTGAACAGTAGTTAATTGTCTGTTTAGGAACTCTTGGAATAATAGTGAAATTGCTTCATTCAGTATTAATCTTGTGTAACAAGTCTGTAATGTTACATGAGAGGAGGCTTTTCAGTATCGGCAATTTAATACTGTTGATTGTCATTGATTCCAGTGCCTACTTTTCTTTTCAAAAAGTAATCAGTGCCTAACGGGAGGTTCCGCTTCCTATTAACATTTCCCTTCAGTGTTCTAAAAATATTTTTCCCAGAAACTGCAAGTGAATATTTTTTGTTGTTGAAAATCTTCTGCAACATTAAGATAATTAGCAGTGTATTCAAGACAGTGACAGGGTAGGCTTATGAGTGAAGCCCCCAGGTAAGCAGGGATAAAGCAGGTGATTTACTATATAGACCATTGCTAATCTGCTGCACTGTTTTTAAGTACTTGTCTAGATGGCTCTAGAGCAACTTTAGTACCATTACATTTTCACTTAAACTTGTACTACCTTCTGAGCTAGGAGATCAGCACCTAGCCAGAAATATTCACCGATTGCCCATTTTCAGGTGTCTCTTGACTGCTGCATTTTTCATCCTAAATTTAAAATGAAAACCCGTAAGCTGGGTTATCTGGTAAATCTGATGTCAACAATACAGGTTTCCAAACTTACATTTTACAAAGGACAATAATAAAAACAAATCTTCGTCTTAGTTTATTTAGGATTTTTAAGCATTCTGCCTTGGGTCCTTCTTTGTACCACGGATGAGACCAGTCCTTCTGGCGGCGATCAGACCAACCTTGCGACCAGCACTCTTGTTTCTGGATACAGTGGAAGCCTTACCAATATGTTGATGGTTACCACCACCATGAGGATGCTCTACAGGGTTCATGGCCACACCACGCACCTTAGGCCAGCAGTTCCTCTTCACCCTGTACTTGTGGTAGGCACGACCAGCCTTCAGGATAGGCTTGTCAATACGTCCACCACCAGCAACAATACCTAAAACAGCAATAAAAAGCATTAGAACACTTCACTTCCTTAAATATTACAAGGAAAATATAAATATATTGGTTACATGGCTAAAATCAATCCTATGCTAATAGTTCATGTTAATACATCTAATTAATATTCATAATAATCTAATTTACTGATCCTGTAATTTTGCAGTTTAACAAACAACTTAATTTACCATTTGTGTAAGCAAACTGCTGGACAATACTTACAGGAATATACTAGTTCTTTAAAAACTTACCAATCATGGCACGGTTAGCAGAGGGCAAAACCTTCTTGGCCCCTGAAGGAAGCTTTACACGGGTCTTCTTGGTTTCAGGGTTGTGGGCGATAACTTGAGCATAGTTGCCAGACCCACGGGCAATACGGCCACGGTCACCAGTCTTCTCCTCAAGGTTGCAAATGATGGTACCTTCAGGCAGACTTCCAATAGGGATGACATTGCCTACATCAAGGTTAGCTGCAAGAAAAGAAAAATATCTGAAAAACAGCTTTTGCAAAAGTACCTTCCTCTAATACTTGATCAATAGTTCAAGAATCAAAACCTTTTTAACACAATCTTTTATATCAATGCTATATTTAAATCCAAAAGTAAACACATGACATCTCTTGCCATACAGGTTATACTGGACTAGGTTAAAAAATGAGTCCTTGAAACCTTTTAACAATGTACAAACATGTTTCAGGCATGACTGGATAACATTCCTATCATTGGACAATTGTAATCTTAAAATATTTTATTGCATTTCTTGCAAGGGAAGTCATTCTGCATCAAATAAAAGTGGTCTGCAAATTGCACAAGTAGTAAAAGTACAAGGTAGAAAATACTACATTAACCCATTGGATCCAGGTGATGTTATTGTCACAGGAAGGTGATGTCATGGAAAAACTTGCCACTGAAGCCTAAAGGCCTGTTCACACAGACAGGCAACTGTAAAGATGTCACAGGCGAGAAAACATGGAAACTACTTGTTTACTGATAAGCTTTTCCACCCATGACCATCTTTATTCGTGCCTGCTAGTGTGAAAAGGCCTTAATGACAAGATTCTGTATCCAATGGGGGTAATTGTTCATAGTAAAAACAAGAGACAAACTGTAATTGCTTTTACCTTTTATTAATCGTTTAAGATTCTATAGTAGAAATGCAGTCTGGATTTGCAGTTTTCCCTTGCTCAATCTAAATTCATGCTGTGCTCAAGCCAACACCTATTAATTGTAAATTACCACTATCAAGGTTCCAGGTTAATGAGCATCTTAATACAAAGTTATTTCACTTTCACTAAATAAATCTTGCTTACCCTTCTTGCCGCAATAGACAAACTGTCCAGAGTACATGCCCTCAGCAGCAAGGAAGATCTCCTTGCGGATCTTGTAGCGGTAGGGGTCACGGAAGTGCACAATAGCTAGAGGAGCACCACGGCCTGGGTCATGGATGATTTGCTGCAATAATGTTACACAATTAGTATGCGATTCAAGCCAACTTTCATTCTTAATGCTGATAAGCATATTAAAAAAAGAGAACTTCTTGATAATCACTTGTTCCATCATCAACTTCTCATAATGGTCAAGAGAACCACATCAGAATGGGTGATGAGAAATTGATCTGCCTCATCTCATCACCAAAATCTCTAAAGAAAAACTTGGTGCGAATGATGAGGGTATATAAAAAAAAAATAAGATTTAGACTCAAAGATGTGATTAACATTATGGACATCCTCAATATGAAAAAAATCAATCAATAGCATATTCCTTATCAGGAATTTATTTTGCAACATCAAATGCTGCTATATATCCTCAATACAAAAGTCCTCCCCACTAAAGCATTGCCCATGTGTGGACAATCAATTTTAACTCTTCCCAAATATATGGACCAAGTTATGCACATTAAACCATAATTAAGTAAATTCAGATGAACTAGAAATTATAAATAGTAGTTAGCAATAATTATGATTTACACAATATATTTATACCTTAATGATACCACGGAGGTATCCATGACGTTCTGCATAATCAATAGCACGAAGGGCAGGCTTTCCCTTGCGGGTGTGGGTGTGGGACTTGAACACCGATCCTCTTCCCTTCCTCTGGGCACGAATTACGCGACCCATCTTGCTGTAAAGTGAAGAATTAAAATTAAGGATTGTGCCAAAGATTGGTAATTACATTTGAAAGCAGAGGGAGAGAAGTATACATTAAAAACTATCTACAATATAGTAAAAATTCCACTAAAGCACCAATTGGAAAAAATTTACTATGTTATTTAAAGTTTGCAGACAAATCAAACCTGTTTTTATAATTACACAAGTATCAGTAAATATATTTGCCTTGATCATTGTTCCAATATCATTCTTCTCATTATGGTCATGGGGACCACGTAAGAATGGGTGACATGAAATTCATCTCCCTCATGCTATCACCAATATCTCTAAAGAAAAACTTGGTGCGAATGATGAGGATATGGGGTGTATTCTATCAATTTAATTCTAGGGTTTTAACACTTCAAACGTGTAGATATGTTATAGGTTTCTCCTAATCCCTTCCGCATGGGTCACGTGTTACACTGCCATAATCCATTTGGTCTGCAGGGTATGGCTACACACTTGGTGCCGTGCTGGAGTGAGTAGAGCAAGAAGTTATGCTACATCCAGCAGCTGAATTTTGCCAGAAATCACCAGAGTTAATGACGCCTAAAAAATTCTACTAACCAGCATTGGGTTAAAAGAAATTTTCAAATCCTAATCAATGTGTGTTCATACTGGAAATGACTGCAGGCAGGCTATTATGGGCAACTTTGATGGTCATCATTTGATATAAGCAGTGCAAGAAGGTTACTGTGACAAGAATGAACTATACTCTATTCAAAGACAAAACACTCCTGTATGTTTATGTCCCTTTTATGTCAGTATGACCTCAAGCTAACTGAGCTTGTACTTTCCACACTGACTGAAGTGTAGAACTTCTGAAACTAGAGAAAACTACCTTACTCTAGTGAATCTAGAACTACCACATCACATTACACAAGGAGCATATAGGTTCCCCAGCGTCTGTTCTTACAGAATGGGAATGCCCTAAGTGACTGCCTCCGGAGAAGGTTTATGGGGAGCTCAGCCCCTGTAACACTCCCTAACAAACATGGTCTTCACCTCTGTTTGCATGGCAAGAAGGCTGAAACTTGGGAGCGCCAAGTGTATTTAGACTGTGGTGATTTCTACAATCTTTCTTAATTTGTGAAGTTCCAGTTCGTTGCTGCAGGTTAATTCAACCTACTCTAATCTTGGGCGAACTACCAGTTTATCCCCTACTGTAATTACAGAAACATGCCTGTCAACATTGGGCTAAAGCCAATAGCCCAACATTTTCTATGACAACAGGGTCTACAGCCCATTCTGAGGAAAAAAGTTTACAAACAGGACTGCAACACTGCACTGGGAACTCCAGCACACTAAAGTTGGACATGTTCCTAGCATTCAGAACCTCAGTTCTGGCAGCCAGAATAAGTCGATCATCTCGTCTATTTTGCCAACATTTGCCCAGAAGGTCATGACGACATCACTATACCACTTGTGGTTAATGTTACCAAGAACACACAAATAGTGGGAAAATGGACACTGCCATCTTGAAGAGAATAAGAAATCGAGTAATAGAATAAATAGGTACAACTGCGATGGCCTCGTTTACCATGAAGTGATGAAATATCCACTGGATACTAAGTCCACAACAAACTTACAGCCAGAGTTCTTAATGTCTGTTTTCTACAAGTTGGTATGAAGAGCTAATAATGGAGAGGGGGAAGTACATGGGGATTTGCCCTCTCCCCCCCTCTCTAGGAAATAAAGGTTAGGTTTCGTTATTAGGTTTGCAGGACACCCTGGTTTTCAGACATCTCTACGGTGCATCACTCTTGGTAACAAATACCAAACTTGCATTCAATCAAATTTGTACACAAACAATAAGATACTTTGTAACTTTAGAGGCCTATACTATTATTAAAAGGTTCATTTAGTGTCAATTACAAAACCCAAGTAGTGTGTTTATTGTTAACTATGAGCAGCATGTAAAACGAACATGCTGGTGTAATTAATCAGTGATATTTAATTTAGAAGTGGTGGCATTGCAGATAATGAAAGCCTTTGATGCATCAAACCAGGCCTCATCTTCCTTGCCCCGACAAGTCCTATCACGGAGGGAAGAGTTCCAATAAAGCAGTAAAGACTACAGGTCCTCAACTCAAGACCAAAAAAAACAATGAACGCCAATCTAATGCAAACTACCTCAAAGATCACCATAGTAAGCGGTATCTTTGCTCCCAACTGCCTTCAAACTACTTCTCCCAAATCCAGTGTGGTCCCTGCAAACAGACAACCCATGTGGTGCTAGGATGCAATTAAATCATATAAAAAGGACTGCACCACATAGGAAGAAACTGCAATCTAACCTAGTTGAGAGGCAGCGTGAATTGGACTAGTAAAATCACATAATGGACGAGAAAAGTCGCTTTCAAGGGGTCGGTTGCATCAGCCGAGAAATCATGTACATTACATAGTCGTACCTTCACAAACTCCCTATAAATAAACATTATTTGATTTCTACTGTAATCTTCCTGCTTAGCATTTATATCTTCTATGAAGAATTAACTAGATAAATTCCTAATGACAAGGATACTTCGAAGGGAATAATGATTATATCAACATATGCAACATCCATCAACCCAATCACGTTCTACCGTGAACAATAATACATCACTTCCATTTTTAGTAAATTATGCTTCAGTCATTCACTGTTCTAGCACAAATCTCTAGTCCTAAGTTAAGAGAAATCATCACCAACAAATTCACTAGCGAGAAACGAGAGGTCACGTGTTATAAAACACTCGGGAACCTCATGCCGGATTTGTTTACTTCCCGCGGCAACCATAACACAAACACTTTCACAATTTAAAGATAATCTTTCATCAAAAAGCACCTTCAACCAATTTTCTTTTCCCTGCGGAACGGTTGGGGGATAACTGGCGTCTTCGGAGGACCGCGAGATAAACTCCTCCAACGAGGGATAATAGCGATACCGAGAGATAAAAATAGGGCTTCTCTCGAGGTTTACACACCTTGGCTCGGGTGGCGACGGAAAGGAGAAGCGCCGCTGCTGCCCTCTACACCATAACACGTGACAAGTGAAGGTCGGTATGCGCAACGTTCATATATCGGGGAAATGGCAAGATAATTATTTTTTCATAATTTTGCTGGATAAAATTACCTTTATTGAATACTAGGTGATAAAAGAATCGCATTGGGAAGAAGATAAAAATCGCCACGTAGCGACGAATCGCGCACAAATGCGCGATATCCCAATCTCTCGCCAAAGTTAAAAACTACATCTTAAAAAATAATCTCCGAAATTTATATCGGCTTGTACAACAAACTACATAAATAAAGGAGTGTACCAGAAACCAAAAAAGCGAAAAGGAAGAAGAGAGAGAACGAGAGAAGAGAAGAGAGAAGAGGGAGAAGCGTAGTTCCCCCGGCGGGCGACAGATGGCGCTGGCGGTCCGGTGACGTCACGGCCGAGGAAATTGGCTTTGTCCTCCTCAGCGAAGAAGAAGACGGTGACCTGCCGAGTGCCCGCCCTTCCAACCTGAAAAACTCCAGTTCATTTTTATTTGTACTATGAGTAATGTACCCACCCACAATGGAGTAGGTCTAGAGCAGCAGGTGAGCATAGGTCGAGGCGCGTGGGGTTAAAAGTGTTCGAAAGAGAGCGAGATGAAGCAGGGCTGGTTGACGGAAGCGGCGGCCGAGGATGGCAGCTGACAATCCAATCAATTCTTTCGAGTCGTGGAAGCTCAGGTGCGGAGTTTATTTCCTTCGTCTCCTCTCGCTCGCGATGGAGGAGGCCTAAGGGACAAAAAAGGACGAATTATGCAAATGTAGTCCCGAAAGTTTGGCCAAAATCGAATAATAGAAGAGGAAAAGAAGCGTTGAAATGTGGCCTTCCTCGCAGCCTCCGCCACCAGGTTGATTTTCTTCGCCAATAAATGCATCTAAATCATAGTTAACACTCGTCAAAAAATCAGGGAATATTTAAAGAAGAGAAGTATATGATCCTCAGCACGCTCGATACCGTAGGGAAATAATAACGAGAGAATAGGAGCATGTAGGCCTATCTCCCTGTTCCTCCCGCAAAATTACTTTCTGAATCCAATAATAATTTTCATCGTCAATACCTGAAGCTCGTGTGATTCGACCGTTTGGTTTGCTTCTTCATTGCAAAGTATTTGTAAAGAGTTACTTTGCCAAAAGAGGAACGAGTGAGTTTGAAAGTTTAAGATGATTGGTTAGTGAATGGCTTTATCTCCCCCCAACCCCCGGCCCTTACGCTATTTACAGCCATATATGACGACATTTTTCATAGTTCTTTTTAGTATGTTTATCGTAATTCACTAGTTCTCTACTCTGTACAGTGCCATTGCAATTACTCAAAGATAGTAGACTAATGCAAATGGAAATATATTTGGACATCAGTGTCTACCATACAATGAGCAAACTGATGTCTACAAGTTTTGTATTCTATGTATTGCTTTCACTAGTGTATAAGAACATCTAAAGAACTTATAAAAGGTAGTATATGTGTGTATCAAATAATTTTCTCTTCAGTTTCCAGAGATTTACTGGGTTTAGTGATCTGCTTAACCTTTCACTTCTTTGCTCTATAAGTTATTCAAAGGCTTCCATCAGGACTGTTTGTTTGTTTCTCAATGCTTTGTATTATAATACTCAAGATTTCACTTCTTTGAAACCTAGTTGATTGTTTTTATGGTGTATTGTGCTATCTGAAATACACATCTAATTGATTTCTGATTACATTACTATGGGAGATTGTCTTAAAAATGATTCCAATCTTGAATGCTTTACTTCTAAAAGGTGTGTGACATGTTTAGCTCTATAATGATATAATAGTATAAGCTTATAGATTAATTTAGGGGCTATACCAGATGTTAAATATAATATTGTATGATATTGATGGGTCAATTAACGTTGCATTGCGTGTACCACCTATCCACACTTACGTCTGTAAAAGGTATGCACATGTATGTACATTAATATAGATTTGTATTGACAAGAGATCAGTATTCATTGAAGATAATGGGTTCCTATAAAAGATAGTATAGTAAATTTGTAGATGTGTAGTGATTTTGGTATAGGACCATTTATGAAGTGTTTTATTTAAAGTATTTGAAACTGGTGATACTTGATGGATGGATGAATTGTTGTGCCAACATGATTGCACAATATTCAGCAACCATTGATTTCACCATTCAATGTTCAGGCTAACAGACCAAGATGTATATATGCTGGCAAAATAGAACTAGAAATGGTTCCCTGTTTGACAATAAAGTCTTTCCAAGGTAGATCCTGTCTTAACAGAATGTGGTGTAGGTATCTTGGGCTTTACTAGTCCTTATACACAGTGAGGCCTCGTTAATAGCTGTCTTTTGGTATTTTTATGTAAAATACTTGTTCATAGTCACTTAAGTATTTAGGGATATAAGGAACATCATAATTTTCAGGTAACTTGTATTAAAGTATGTTTACAAATTTATTGAATTTTGTGGGGGCAAGTGCTCTCTCAGTTGTATTGAAAGCAGGCAGATACAGTATAGATCCTTAATTTTTTAGAAACACACTGGGATAAATGGCTCAACTCAGTCTCCGAAAACTGAGATTGTCACAACTTTGGTATGTACATGTGAAATATTTACATTACCGTAAAAATATTTCTTGGAATAGAAAAAGGTTTTTAAAAAAATTGTTCAATTTCCTTGACCAATGATTTTATGATTTTTAAATCTGCAGGACACGTATATGACATTGAGTGGTAGCCATTAGGTAAATAAATGTCTTGCATATGTGACACTGGTGGTAAATGGGTTAAAGGTGACCACATTGCTTTGGGGAAAGGTTATAACTGAGGAAAGCTGGAAGCCATGAATCTTTCTATTAAACTGATAACTAAAGTGGATGGATGGGGAATGCTTTGGAGTTCAAAGCAATAAGAGGTTAGCTGAGAAGTTTACATTATTTCAAATGGCTAGTATTTTTTGTTAGAAACGATGGTCTGCTTTTGGTGTTTGGTTTTCTTTGTGAATGGATAGGGGAAGGACCTCACTTGCTTGTCAGAACTGACCTGACTTTCAGGTCATTAGTTTGAATATTTATAGATTTGGTTTTCCTGGTCTAGCTAACATTTCTTCTACACAAGTATATTTCTCCTTCCCTTCTTGCATTTTATTAGAGAGACATTCAGTATTTTCCTTTGGCAATGTGGTAATGTTAGATTTGATTGAAATATATGCAAAGAAAAACTTTTTTTATTGTACAGCATAATGGATGCCATATACTAGTTCAGCCATTTATTGCTAATGGCAATCACAGTATGCCTCCTTGTCATTTTAGGAACCATATTGTAGTCTATGCAACACATATGAAAAGGTCATGATAAAAAATTAAGCATAATAGTACAAATGTCTTAAAAATGTGACACCAAGGACATTGCTTTGCTCATGTTTGTGTAATAATATAAGTGCAGTCTATTAACCAATAAGACATGTGGTTTTGTAATTATTGATAGGTCGTTGCTGACTGCATAGTTAAAATTGCAGTCTTTGCTAGTAATACAAACAGTGTCAAAATTGTTATATTTAGTGGGTAGATCAGCATAATTTTTATAGGATGATAGGTAGGTCATGTTTGTAAATTTAATTTAAAATTCCTTCCACCTTTCTCTGATCCTGGGAGAAAGATGCCTAACATCTGGACTCAAGGTTTTAGTTTTTATGGAGGAAGCTGGTCTTCTCACTAAAATATGATAGTATATTATTTTATAATTTTGACTGAAGCTTTCAATTTCTTTTGATGTAAACTTTTTGCTGTTTTAATTCTTGATTTATATTTATATTTAGTAGTACGGCTCCATACAACACTGCTATTGCAGCATCAGGTGTGATTCTCGCAACTCAGTCAATCAAATTTTTTGAAGTTAATAAATCAAACTGATTATTATCAGATAACTTAATTTCTTGATATATGCCACCAGTAAAACAAAGTGCTGTAGTGGATGTAGGGGAATGTAAGCGAAATGATATTGCTAAGGAAGAGGAATACATAGTTCATCTGTATATTGTTTCTGTTTGTTATGATATGGAATATAAAGGAAATTTAGTGGATACACCAAGAGGTTTAAGTCACTATTATACTAGCATGTGTATGATTTACATACATACATACATTCACATATATATGAACATATAAATGTATGTGTATATATATGTATGCTTATATATATTTATATACATATGTATATATACATTTATATACATATGTATATATACATTTATATACATATGTATATATACATTTATATACATATGTATATATACATTTATATACATATGTATATATACATTTATATACATATGTATATATACATTTATATACATATACTTGTTTATATATATTTATATACATATACTTGTTTATATATATTTATATACATATACTTGTTTATATATATTTATATACATATACTTGTTTATATATATTTATATACATATACTTGTTTATATATATTTATATACATATACTTGTTTATACATATTTATATACATATGTATATATACATTTATATACATATGTATATATACATTTATATACATATGTATATATACATTTATATACATATGTATATATACATTTATATACATATGTATATGTGTATTTGTGTGTGTATATATACATTTATATACATATGTATATGTGTATTTGTGTGTGTATATATATCTTGAATAATAGTTCAACATAATGTTGTTGAGAAGGTGGATACAATTGATTTAATGATATAGTATTTTTATTGACTAAGAAGAAGAGTGCTTACGAATGCCTCAAGCTTGTCTTGAGTAGTGTTAATAGAAGTAGGAAGGGATTCAGATGTGCCAAGATAGGAGATTGCTGATAACAATGGCTATAGCTATTGGATATGATAATGTTGGTTGATGTCTACAAATTCATGAGCTGTAACTCTTTACTTTTGCAGATATAAGCATTGTGTTATTGGTTAGTCATACATGGGAAGGAAAGGTTACCTTAATGGAGAAAATAAACAGACTGATTGGAATACATATTTAATAACTGTATATGAGATGGATGGATGAAATTCAATGTTGCCAAAGCAGAGCAAGGTTTTCAGACGAACCGATTATTGATAGTATAAAGAAAATCCATATCAAGTAGTCATCCAAGACCTACAGAGGAGAGGAGTAGGAAGGGGGGTGAAATAATGATGAGTATAAGAGATGGGTGTGAGTGACACTGTTTCAGGGGGGGGGGGGGTGAAGCTGTGGCCATTCTGGTACTCTCATCATGCTCCTTCCTTATGGCCCTCCTTCCTCCTCTGTATGTCTGCCTCCTCAATCTCCCCCACCCCCACTTGTACACCTCACTCTTACTTGTGTTATTGTACACACGATTATGCAGATATTGTTCAACAGGAGATATGCCTGTTTGTGCTCTTTTGCATGGGTTCACTAGTACATTTCATATATATAGTCATAATTCTAGTCTTAAGTCATTTTTAAATGATACAGAGCATTCATTCATTTTCTTTTGAGATGCTTAAAATTTATTGGTAGAGAAAGTAACATTACAGATTAAAATCTGCTTTGAAAAGAGTGAAGTGTAAACATTCTCACATTGTGATTCATCAGCAATACCCATTTCATTTACAGTTTCCAGATGGTAAAGGAGTTCATTAATGTTTTTGTTTTTTATTGTCTTCCCCTGCCAGTTTGCTGGTCTAGGCTTGGAGGGGCGAGACCACATTGGTCAACGTGGAGGCGGGCGGGGCAGTGGCAGTAGGGGAGGTGGCCGCTACGTCCCACCCCACTTAAGGAATCGCCTAGAGGACGCTCCACCCCCAG